GACATCAGCGCCGCGCAGTAGCCAGGCTGCCCTGCAGCTGCCGGGGGTGGGCAGGAAGCGGTGCAGACCGCGGCCCGCGGCGCGGCGGGCGGGCGTGACCTCAAGGGCATCGAAGCCCGCAGACGGGGGTGGGACGATGCGGTCAGCAGAGGCCCGCCCGGGGGGCGCGCGCGCAGTGGGACCGGCGGCCCCTGCTCGGCCCCAGCCGCCGGCGTACCTGGATGCTGCGGCCCAGCGCGTCCAACCGAGGCCTCGGCAGTCAGCGTCCCGCGGTCACCGGCCGAATGCAGCACTCGGAACCAGACACGTGACGGGACCGTCTCAGGCGCCACCCCGAAAGCCTCAGCTATTGGCGCAGAAAGCGACCTTTTCTCCCGCCCACCCGCGGGGTTAGCCTCTAGGATTCGGCTCCCGACGCGAAAGACAGAACCGCCCGCCAGACTCAGCACGATTCCGCCCACTAAGGCGGGAGGCCGAGCGAGTCGCTTCGCCCGTGTGGCCGGCTTTGAACTTCCGGCTTTATTTTCCTGACTACGCATCCTCGAACGAGGCTTCCTCTCGGAGAGGCCCGTTGCATTCTGGGGGTTGTGGTCCGGCTCCGTCGCGAGCGAGTCTCTGGGGACCCACGCTCTGGCACCGGAAGTTTTAGGATGCTAAGGCAGTGTCAGCCAATCCTCAGCTGCAGCGCGGTGACGTCTCCAGTAGCTAGGTTGATTCTCTCGGAGGCAGCCTTCTGGAGGTGGACCGCGCGCCCTCTAGAGCCAGGATCTGACTTCTTCCAGGTGGCGGGGCTGGGGACGGAGCTCAGGTAGGAACCGGAGGGGCACCGCCAAGGTCTAGGCGGTAGCTTGGGCCATAACCACGGAGTGGACACGAGGGGTGAATCTCTAACGTTTCTGTCCCATGTATGACCTTCCCGCTTGCAGCCAGCGTGATAAAGTTCCTAAGAAGCATCAGGAAGGTTGGATGCCACCTTGGGGGGTGGGGGAAGGGGTGCCGGCAGGAGAGTGGGGAGAGAGGAGGGGATTGAGTGAAGGCTGCTGAGGCCAGGATATTTTTTTCTTTTTCATTTTTCTTATGGTGTGAACACGCACGTGCATGATACATGCCAGCACACACATGCCTCATGCATCGACGCTCCCTTCCCCTCCTTATTGTTTCTGGAAAAACCACACTTTATTGGGTAGACAGGTAGGGCTGATTAACAGTTAACAGTGGAGTGAACAAAAGTGGGCAAAATGTTTGAAGCCGCCTCTGCTCCACCTTAACCTCTTGTGATGGGAGGCAGCCCTGATTTCACATAGTGTCCCGACCTGGGCCTAGCCAGGCCAGCCAGAACGGTGCCCCTCACTCATGCTGCCTAGTCTGGGCAGCTCTACCCTTCTCTGGAAAGACAGTGAATTATCCAGGGCGAGGTACAGAGAGAAGCCCACCCCCGTAGTTTGTCGGGAAGTGAGGGAGAGTTAACATAAGGCTGGCCAGGGTCCAGTGTGCCAGGTGCTGCCGCACAGGAAGCTGAGACCCCTGCTGGACCTGCAGGAGCCTCTCGGGCCCTCTGGGACTATTTATAGCTCGGAGCCTAGGCTGCTGACCTGTGACATTCCCCTGCTGCCACCCCATCCTGGAGCCAGTCCAGTGCCAAGCACACTCCTCTCCCTCCCCCTTCTCGCCCTTCCCTCACCCCGGGAACCGGGTGGTTTTCATTTTCTTCCTCCTTGAGTTTCCCAGCTCCCAAGGTGCTGATGTGGTCAATATTTCAAGAGAGGGACTTCATTTGACAAAGGAGAGCTGACCTTTGACTATCAGGCCCACCTTTCTTCAGCCTCGGGCCCCTCTCTGGCCCCCTGGTCCTCAGATGCCTGGTGCTGGGGATCTGCCCTGGCTGGTCTGGGGCAGCAGAGAAAGAGGTGCTGGGTTTGGGAGGAGAAAAGGGGTGGAGTCAGGGATGTCCTGGGGGAGATAGCAGCAGGAGGGGCCCAGCGGACACCTTCCCCAGCTAGCGCTCCAGAGAAGGGAGGCAGGGCACATACAAAGGTCACAGGGAGCCAAGCCATCCGAGCCTGCTATGAAAAGGTGTAGCTCTGTCAGCAGATTAAGTTCCTGCTCCCCAAAGAGGGTGCTGGAGGGGAGGGCGGAGGAAGGCTTGGAAAGGTCACGCAGGGTGGGGGGGAGCTGGCAACGAACTAGGAACTGGGAAGTCCCCCGGGGAGAATGGCAAGCCACTGGGCCAGAGATGCCAGCGTGGCAGCAACTCTGGTGCCAGGGCGGCCTGGGGGAGGGGGAAAGGGAATGGCCAGAGGTTTCTGAGGACGCAGATGTTGCTAGGAGAAGCTAGAAGGGAGTTGTTTGAGATCTTTGTATTTTGTGAACAAACACTGAGATCCATTGGAGTTGTGTGGATCCTGGCGGAGGTCAGCCAAGGGGTCCCTGGCAGCCCTTGCCCCCTCCCTCCAGTGGCTATGATACTTCTTGAGCCATTTGACAGGATTCCTGGTCGGTGTGAGGCAGCAACTGGCAGCTTCTGCCCTGCTACCTTCTCCCCCCACCCTCTCCATACACACCCCAGGCAGGCCACACTGGGACTTGCTTCTGCTCCTCCCAGAGAGCGGGAAGACAGCTGCACATCTGGAGAGGGACAGGGCAACTCCATTTCTGGCAAGGTGTGGTGGCAAGAGGCCGCAGGCTGCCTGGCAGTTCGGGGTCGCCGGGCGCGTGGCTGGGCCCCACAGCCTTCATGCTCCAATGAAAAGCTGAGAAGACTCTGCTCCACGAGAAGTCCCAGAGATCCTGGTGCCCAAGCTTCTGCCCGTCTCCGCTGGGGTAAAGAAGCGGCCTGGCCTGGGTCCTGGCCCCACTCACATGTGTTCTGGATGGTTCTGCAGGCAGCGGATGAATTCACCCACTGGCTGGCCCTCATAGCACACCTTGTACACAGCCATGAACAAGGGGAACCTATAGTGGGAGGGAGGGGCTCAGCTTAGCCCCCCACTCCTGGCCCTCTTTCCCCCCCCATCCCCCGCCCGCCATTCACCGCCTGTCCTCCAGTCTCCTGCCCTCCCACCTTGGAGCTCAGGCTGATAATGACCACCTGCTGAGAATCTGAACTCCTGAGCCCTGGGTTTTAGGGTCTGGCTGCTAACTGTCCTGCTCCCTATCATGTTGAACTTGCCTGCATGATTCCCTGGCTTGAATTGTTTGTTCCTGTTGGGCAAAACCCACTTAACCCCCCTGAGCCTCAGAGTCAACAGCTGTAAGATGGGGCTAGTATAACAAAGTAGTGAAGATATGACCGTGTGTGTGAAGAGCTGATTATGTACTATATGAAAGTGCTCAGGCCGGGCATGGTGGCTCAAGCCTGTAATCCCAGCACTTTAGGAAGGCGAGAGGATTGCCAGAGCCCAGGGGCGCAATACCAGTCTGAGCAACTTGGCGAGACTTCGTTTCTACAATAAATCAAAACAATTAGCTGGTGTGGTGGCGCATGCCTATAGTTCCAGCCACGTGGAAGGCTGAGGTGGAAGGATCTCCTGAGCCCAGCAGGTTAAGGCTGCAGTGACTATGAGTGTGCTATTGCACTCTAGCCTGGCCAACAGAGTGAGACTCCAACTCAAAAAAATAAAATAAAAAAAGTGCTCAATCGCTGGGCTTGATGGCTCAGCCCGTAATACCACGCCTTTGGGAGGCTGAGGTGAGTGGATTGCCTGAGCCTGCGGGCAATGCCCGTTTCCTTCTTCCCACCGGATGGTGCCCGGTTGTTCCCTTCACCAGGAGGCTCCACCTGGCTTGCCATGAGATCTTCCGAGCCTGTCTCATGCTCTTCATCTAGTGTTCTTTCCCAAGCAGCAGAGCTCTGCTCTGAGCAGTCCAGCTCTCCCCAACCCTTTTTCTGTGCCCCCTGGAAAGAAGCACCTTGAAGCAGAGCCCATCCTTCTCATACCTCAGCACTCAGGAAAGGATTTAGGAGACAGAAGGGTCAGCCCTGGGGGAGAGGCTCAGACTGGGGGTGACAGCCAGAAAAGCGAGACGGTCACATGACATTCCTGCTGCCCCAGAGCAGAGGACAAGGCAGAAAGGACACAGAGGGGTCCGAGTAATGTAGTGTGAAGCGCACTAGACTGGAAAGAGCGCAAAGCCCATGAGTGAGCTGGGGACAATGGGCATTCCAGACTCTCCATGCTCCAGTCTCTTTGTCTGAAACAGGGGAACCTCCCCTCTCTGTCTACTTTGCAGACCGCGGCGGGTTCAGGACAGCAGTGAGCGGGGAGGGTGCATCGGGCCACGGCCCCCTCACCCCGCCG